ATCAGTATTACACTGGAAGCATTATTAGTCCTACCAAACACTATAAGGTATCAGGGAAGTGTATCACTGTCAAAGCTTTTAATCAATATTTTTAGAAACGCATTGCTCCAGTCTTCTTTCAAAGACATTTGCTATTTCCTAATAAAAAGCAGAAAATCTCAAACAAATCTAACCCAAAACACATGTAAAGCTTTACTATTTCTCTTTAAAAGGTCACTTTTACAACAACAGCAACAACAACAGCAATAATGATAATAAATATATTTAATACAATTTAATTGAAGAAAAAAAAATATTAAAAAACAAACCGTGAAAAGTAATCTGCTATCTACAGAAGATAAAGGTTACATAAATTATGTTGGATAATGATCATTGGTATTTGTGGGAGAAGATGAACAGCATATTTATTTACAAGTGATAATTTAATTTCTTAACATACTGATATTGGTAGAAATGCAGGAATGTAATATATGGTTACAGTTCTTAAAGTATTTTAATCTAATTTGTCTTGTGATGTATCTATTTAAGTAAACAAAAATAAAAAGGTTAAAGTGTGTAAAAATAAAAACAAACTGCTTCTATTGACTCTAACGCACACTGAAGGCTGGAGTGTATTTTTCTGTTCCCCCCACCCCGCCCCCATCTAAAAGACACTGGATGCCCTCTGCTGGAGGACAGATGCAAGCTAAAATACACAGAACACCTTAATTTACAGTTTCCTGCACTCCCTGTGAAATTACCAGGAGCTTTCCAACAATCCTGAAGTGCTGATCACTTTCTCAGAGTTGATTACATGTATTGAAGTGCTATATTTGGAGCATATTTCTAAGTCATACTGCATTACAACAAACCCATATAAAAGTTCCAAATTCTATAAGTTACATAAGCAAGTGGTAGAAAAGAAATGGGACTTTTTTAATCACATTTCACCATCTGTTTACCACTTTAGATATGGGGATGTCAAAGTAAAGAAATAATACTTGTTTTAGGTGACAGTTTTAGAATTTCAGTCAGGGGAAATTATGTAAACTTCGTCTATTGTATAATACTGCTTTTGCATTGCGTTTCATGTCATTCTTAATAAAATACTCATACAGTTCAGTTCAATTTTGTTGCACTAAGCCTTTCAGACAAGACACTTTGAAGTAATCAATAACTGTTTCATATTTACTGTACTTACCCTTGTTTTTTGTTTTACACTTCACATTCTCTAAACATTCCAAGCATCTACATTCTATTAGAGCATTCAGGTTTTGAATAATACAGTATATTAATTTTAACAAGTGTGTATACTGTACATTATTTTGTAATTTCACAAATTGGGACACAGTGCATTCAGAGGATAAAAGGAGCCTGACATGACACACATTTGAGTGACACACATACCTATACTGTAATTTCAACCTGTTGAAAACCCTGTTCAGAAAGAGATCAAAAGCTTCTGAAAAAGTAGTAGTCAAAAAGATAATTTTACTGTATACAGTAGTAGTTAATAAGGTAAGTATACTATATGTGGGTACCACATCACAGTACAGTCAAAAGTGTTTTTGTAATACATTAATTAGAAATGACTAAACTAGTCACTGAGCAAGTCAGTAGTAGAAACAAATGCTTATACAGTATATTATATATCAAATGCTTGATATAATTTTTAGGTCATTCATACAAGGGACTGGATGAGATACTGTACAAAGATAAAGTTTCAAATTACTACCATTTAATTATGCATACTAGCCTATGTGTTAATGTAAGATTAAGTGGTTATGAAAATACTGTTTTACCAAATTGTCCCCACTCTTTAACATCTGAAGGGAGCATTTTAATTGTGTTCAATTGTTGACAACAGCATGCAATAAAACTCTGTGAACTGGAATCAATATACCAGGGACAAAATAGAGCTTCTGTTTTGTAATATCACATTCGAATCAAGCCATGCATAACAATGTCAAGATTCACACAATGATAAAATTCAAAATTAAATTTTTAAAGAAATTAATTCAGCTAAAGTCCTTTTTTTATATCAAAGTATATATACTTATGAAATATAATAAAATCTAGTTTCCATTACAAATCTCTTTCTATGACAAGACATACTGACAATCCTAATACCATAATATAAGCATGCTGCTTATAAAGCATTTAGTTAGATTAACCATGACATTTTAATTGATTGTTATTATTAAAGAAGTCTTTATGAAGTGTTCTGAATGGCATGTAATTCTGAAACACCGAGGCTGGTGTCACAGACAATATTCTAAATGAATTACATTAAATCGTAATAAATTCTCCTAACCGCAAAAGAAAGTCTAATCTGATTAATTTATGCAGCCTCAGGTTTCTTTCTTGGTAGCCACCATCCACAAGCAAGAAGGTACATATTTCATGGAAGCTATTACCAGTGCAATTATTTCACTGTGGCAGCAAGAAACCATTCGAATCGAAAGTTATTTAATTGCAGCCTTTATACAGCGATACTCAAAGTGTGTTGGTAATGTGAGCAGACAAGTTAAATCTAAATTTGGTCCGTTAAAATTCACTGCTAAATGTCCACCAACACTTTTGAGTCTGGGCCATGTAAAGGCAGAGATTAGGATTTTGCATTTTTGCCTGCCATGAGAAATCAATGATTTCTACCACTAGTTAACATTATTGTGCGTGTTGTATTATTAGAATAGGACATTTCCATTTTCATACAGACTTTGTTAGTTATTTTCTGTTACTTTTCACTTGATCAACATTATTTATTCTGGCAGGAGTTTTATGAATGTGGCAAAAAAGCATTACAGTGTTCTAATGGAACAATACTGGGATACCATCTATTTTTGTGAATAACCACCTTAGTTGTAATGTATTTTTTTCATGCTGAGGAAACGTGTTTTATTAATGTGTCTGCTCTGTGTAAAAGTACAGGGGTTGTGAGCCTGAAAAACAGCAGACAGGCAAAAAAAAGGTTTTTGAAATAATGCACAATACACAGATACATCAGCTGGAAAAACACTAGCTGCTTCAGTAGCTTCTCTCCAAAATTTGAAGGATCACCTCTAAGTGATCATTTTGGAATCTGTTTTCATTTGACTTTATTGGTTTTCATACATAAAATTAGAACAGCAATGACACAACAAATCATTATAAAGTATTTGATGAGTTAGAAATTAAACACAGTACTAAAATGCAAATAACATACTGTACCGAAGTGCTTTCTATCTTTCTCTTGGGACCTGGTAACAAACATGCCCCTTGGTCAGATTATTTGCCATCGTGTATTTGGGTTTCACTGCTATACTGATGATACCCAGATCTATTTGCAGACCAAATCAGATATTACACTTTATAGGTGTCTTTATACAGTAGGCGACATTAAGATATGCATGTGTAACAGGGCTCAAGTATGCAACCAGTTACAAAAATCATAAACCTCCAGACTTTCAAATAAAACTGTGCCAATACTGAGACTATGTTCATTGGCTTCCAACACACTTTCATAAAATTGGAAAATCTGGTGTTGTTGGCAGCGGTGAATTCAATTACAAACCTTCTAATAATGTCCCTTTTTAATATCAAATACCTTTGAACCTGTGGTATCATATGCTCTGTTAACACACTAGCTCTGCTTATCTGACACTAAAGTATGGATATATACCTTTATTTATTCAAGACTATACTGCTGTAATGTCTTATTTATGCCCTAAAAAGGGAAATAGAGAAAGATTTCATGTGAATCCTTTTTAAATGGAAACAGGTTCCCTCTTTGCCTCTGAAAGTTTTTTGTGTTTAGATTATTGGGGAAGAATTCCATATTGTTCTCTGTGTGCAGAAAATGAGGATCCAAAAGTCATTTTATTTATATTGCATCACTTAAACAAACTCAGAGTTGAACTTTTTTTCAAGGAGAAGACATTTTGGGACAATTGACTCAATGACCAGGTGTTTTTATTGGGTCATTAACCACTCATAAAAGAGCTGTGGCTATCCTTTCAAACGTCTCACTTTGAATTCAGTGTTGGGAGCCTGGATTCAGTCAAAATCAAAGTCAAAATGAAAACCGAAAAGCTTTCTGTCAAAGAAGGGCAGGTAATTCAATTTTGAAGCTAAGAGAATAACTCATCCACAACCACAGTACCTAAATGAATCATAATTTATAGAAGAAAGAAAATATGTATAATTGCTAAATCCATCAAAATCACATCAACCAGATCAGATAAGTAGATGATGACAGAAAAATTATTGGAGCTGTCAAACAAAAACATTGAGCTACTGTGCTGCCCATCCATGGTCAAAAAAGTAGCAAATATTAAATTTTAATCTCCAGACCTAAATCCACATGAGCACGCACTTTACGTGGGAGAATTTTACATGGAATGTACTGTAAGCAATGATTAACCTACACACAGATCTAGTGATTACTGTCAATATGAAATTATAAACTGGTACAACAATTGTTTAAAGAATCAAAGAGGAAAAATAATAGTTATTTCAGTGAAAACAAAAAAGAGTAACTCATTAATTGTTTTGTTGTCCTTGAATTTTGAAAATGTATTTTGACTGCTGTGTGGCCTCAAAAAGAATACTACATCCAACAGTAAATTGGGAAAGATAAAGATAACTGTGTTTTAGCATTTTACTGAAACTCAGTATCATGCCTTAAAATTTAAATTGTGTCTAAGAATCTAATCATTGGCATTAGCATAGACAGTATCTAGTAGCAGGTTTTCATGATTTCCCAACAAGCACTAAAACAGAAAATACATTACAGGGACACAGTCACTGTGGAAGTGGTGAAGATATATCTTAAATGTACTTTATTGACATTTTTATTGAATAAAATGTGTTACTGTTGTTTAAGGCAAACACAGTGCCCTTTTAAACCCTCCAATCACAAAGTTAAAGTGTCTCTTTTTCATTATACTTTGTTGAAGGCCTATTCATAATTTTCCTAACAATAAGAAAACCACTTGGAAAAAAAAATGATGAAGAAATGAATGGGGTAAAAAGCAACCAACCTGTTTCTGATCCTGCAGTTGACTCTGGATCCAGCGTTCTCTTCTTCTCTGCTTCCTCCTTAGGCTCTTCAATCGGTTCCTCTCTTTTTTGCTTAACCTTCGCTCTGCCACTAGAGATGTCGAAGGTCCAGATAGTAGCAGATTGCCTGCTGACATAGCCTGTTCTTCCTCAACATCCTCTTCCTCTGTGCTGCTCTGAGAAGGCATCCTCCTTCTCACTGAGGAAATGCGGCTGGCATTGTGGTTCCCTGGCAGCAAGGTAGACTCTCTGAGATTGTCACCCCTAGCCGACATGGCTACAGGATCATGTTGAGATGGAACACTTGTTTCACAATCGACATATGAACTCTGCAAATTTTGCAAAACAGGTTCTGGTGTTGTTCCAGTAGCTAGCTGCAAGCCTGCACAGAAGCTGCTAGCCGGCACGACCCCATGCAACCTGCCGGACTGTGCAGGATCACCTGTGTGTGTTTTAAGAAGATTAGAGAAGCTGGTAGAAATGCCCATTCCACATTTGTTGCTATAATCCAAACTGTGAGCTTTCCTATGTGAAGCTTTCAGAATGTGTGGTGTGCTCACTGGACATGGCACAGAAGAAAAGACTTTTGAATGAATGGCTTTGACGTTGCCTTCTTGTGATCTTGCCTCAAGGCAAAGGGCTTCAGCAATTCGTCCAGGCTCATTACTGGCGTTAGCACCACGTGAAAAGCTTGTGCTGCTGGGCTCAGTTTGGCTGGCTTCCATTCCTTGCTGTGCTACTTGGGACCGTAGTGATCCGTGGCCAGGATGAGTCGCTCTTGTTCTTGCTGGTCTTGAAATTGGCAAGGAGTGTTTTGACTCATAATCAACCCGGCTTTTGCAAAGATGAACAGTCACATCCAGACCACAAGGACATTTGGCACTGCCGACAAAGTTAAAGCCCCCTAAACGAGCCCCACAATACAGGCAGTTCAGCTTCCCAATTGTCCACTGCGCCTATAGAAAAGAACAAGACAACAAAGCATTCATTGTCAAAAAATGAGGCGAAACACCCAGATCAAGTCTTTTTTTTCCAATGAACATGGTCAGCTCTTTCAGTTTTTATGTACAAACCTGGTTCATCAGCAAGGTAACTATTTTACCACAGGAAAGAAGACAAAGGAGAAGCCAAATAAAATGATACTGTCAATGTAATACAGTATCTTGTTACTAGATGGTACTATACTGTATATACTCTTCTGAAGTTGAAAAGAACATTAACTTCTTAATAAAAACCTTTTAAACCTCTTGATAGACAGCATTGATAGTTAACAGTAGAAAGAAAGTTAAATTTGGTATGACTACAAATTTTTAAATACAGTATGATTAACAAATCCAATTTAATCACATGCAATATTACCATTATTGATATTACCTCATTATATTAATCTTAATAAAGCAGCTAAAGTTTTCAGTAAAAGCAGAGTTGCTATAATCTCTTCCAGAAAAATATTGACTATACTGTAGCTTTTCTAGTGTCAGAATACTAAACTTGGCAGAGGAGAATTTCCTCAAACCTCATTCCTTTTACTCTACCAACCAAAACCCACCTGATGTTTTTTTTTTCCTAAAGAGGAAGGATTATAACAGCAAAATCTAAAAATATTTTCATTTTCAAAAATAAACTACTGTTATTTTAATCAGATTATTCAATCATATTGTTTTAAATAGCTTCACCTCTCCAGCTTTTCATTTTAACTTGGTTAAAATATGTGGGCTCATATTATACAGTACTGTATGTCAAGGTTGTACTATAGCAAACTGTGATTTATGGTTAGTGCAAGGATAATTACAGGCTGGTAACAGCATAAGCCCGGAACAATTAGAAATGGTTTAGCAGTCTTTACTCTAGCAGGAAGAAAAAGCAGTACCATCTGAACAATGCCTGCCAGGACTTTCTGAAGTTCAAGGCATCCTACAAAGAGTTAACGCTCTTCAAATATTCAGCTCACCTTCCCTCTCAAACACACATACAGTACAACAGAGTTAATTTTGTTCACTGCTGACACAAGCTGACACAAGATCGAGATCATTCCATACACAATCCCAAATCCCAAATACAGACTGTGTCTTATGTGACTAACAAAGACCTTTCAACACACTGAAATTTGTTGCCAATTCCAAGGTTCTGTAAAATATTACATATATATAAAATCAAGCACAATCTTATGAAATTATAAATCCTATGGTTTGGGGTGATGTGCATAAATATAATGAAAGTAGATTCTGTTTTCAAAACAGGAGAAATTTATAGAATTCCACTTGCTTTTGTGAGACTAGGCCATTTGGTTCACACTGAAAAAAGCATTTAATTTCATTCAAAAAAGTAAATAGTCATCAGACATAACACAAATACACTAAATATCAAGAGAGTCTGACATTTGGCAGTTCCTTTCCTAATACTTACTCATTGGCAATCTTATTGTTGGCCAATATATCTTGATTGGGAGGTATAAAATTAAACATAAACTTATGGAACTCCTTAAGGGGTTAAGGCTGAAAAAAAAAACATGTGATGCCATAATTATGAAACAGATACCATTCTTCTTTTTATTTCTGGTTTGATATTGTGATCCTACCAATATTTCTAAAAAAGAGAAGGTCCAAACCAAAAAGTGACATAACAAATTTGTATATAGTTATTTGTGATTTATAAAAGGAAGATATTATATTTCCTTTAAATCCCAGGATCACACCATTACCTATGGATTTCTTCAATGTGCCCGTTTACAGAGCTTTGTTGGTGGTAGAATGGTAGCAATAACTGATGCTTTACGAGCGGCAGTTATGCAGTCAAAATAAAAAAAAGCAAAGACAGCGGAAATTACACATTTTTCAAACCTTAAGATATTCATAGTGTTTAAGAGATCCACCACTTCATATTCTGATAGATCCTTATTGTACTTGGTCTATGAGAAATCCAATTATGTTTGGCAATATCCTGACTGATATCATAAACACATTAAATTATATTTTGGTTTAATATATATTTAAATTATATTATATAAACTTTATAAGAACTCCAAGCAGGATATTATCAAAATTATCACTGAAACTTTTTTCAACATTGCAACTTTTTAGAAAAAACAAATAGGGTGTTCAGTATGTAGTTATGACTTAAAACCACAACACCATGGGCTAAGAGGACAAAAACTTTCATCATCAAAACTTTCATGTACTATAACTGCACTTAAACAGAAACCTCTCAACTCTGAGTCATACCTTCTAGTATAAAATCCTGCATAAAATGAATGTATGATCAAATGTAAAACTAATACACGTTTTGTAGTGGCTCAGCTAAATAACCTGAGATAATCTGAAGGAGACTGTGTATTTACTTTTGATAAAGGGAATATTTTTCTTAATTAAAGTGATATGTTCTAGAGAACTAAACTTAAGTCTGATGGGAACTATGTGTAGAATTTACACATACTGTAACAAACAGATGTAATGGTAGATGGTGGTAGTTAGCACAGCTGCCTTGCAGTGTTGTGACCTTGGGTTCAATTCCTGGGGTATTATCTGCAGTTTGTATGTTCTCCCTGTATACAATAAGTGTGGTTTTCCTCCAAGGGCTCCAGTTCCTTCCAATGCTCAAAGCCATACTTGTGGGTTATCTGGCTTCTGGGAAAACTTGACCGAGGTGTGAGTGCGTGTGTTTGTGTCTGTGTGTTCCCTACAATGGACTGACCTTCTATCCAAGGAGTACTCAGCCTTGAACATGTTGCTTGCTGAGATAGATTCTGGCTCCCCTACAACCCTGAACTGAATGAAGTACAGAGTGCAATAATAATAATAATAATAAAAACTGTAATTTGACCAGTGCTTTGTTCCGTTTATACAGTACAGTAGGTTCAATATAGTGACGCAAGTGAAGTTCCTTACTCAAAGGTATAGCAACAGTGCCCTACATGGGATTTGATTCGACAAACGTTCCAGCTGTTCACAAGTGACCAACATAACAGATCAAAGATTACAAACAGAATACACATACAGTATGACACAAAGAGAGACAAGACACCGGTTCCATATGTTTTGTTCTTCTTCACTGAAATCCTTGTACTACTAAAAATTAGAAAAAAAATAGGAATAGTCATTCATGTTTCATTTTAGTGAAGAAAATATTTCTTAAGTGTTTGTTTGACATCACTATTTTTACTACACACCCACCCACTGTGGAATCGTCAGCTATTTAGGATTGGGCTTCCCGGCAACAACTCCGGTTCCAATATAGGAAGAATGAGGATCTGCAGACATTCCCCACCAAAATGCCCATCAGTCAGTTTCTTGCAATGTTGCAAGCTCAGCAGTGCCTTCCAGGGCAGTCAGCAATAACTACAGGAGCGGCACATCTCTCACTGTCATCACTGCAAGGCTGCCTGTACTCAACAAGTCAAGTTGCAAGAGTCACTGCTTTGCTAAAACACTCGTGTGACAAAGGCAGCACTCAATTAACCACTGCAACTTGAGGAATCCCAGTCACAGTCACAGTACACAGTACCCTGGCTCAAATGAGTGAAGTCTATACAGTCTTAAAATGGGAAAAGGGCAGATAAGGGGAAGATATTTTTATTGTTCCTTTCACATTGCTTGCCAAAAAAAAAGATAATGTTTATAAAATTAACCAAGAATACCTAAGCATTTGAAGTTCATATTCTAGTTACAATGGACATACTTACATCTTCTATGCATCCTTGTATCCAGTCAGGCAGAGCTTCAACATTGACATGCCAAATGTTGCACTGTGTTAGATCGTCATCACTGGCATTGATCTAGTCATAGATAAAATCAAATTACAAACCTTTTAAATTAACCAACAAATGCATCTGACACATCTAACTCTTATTGTTCTCTTGAAAGACATTTACTTTATGCTAGACGTTGTAAGATGACTGGGTTTTTTTTATTTGGTTAATGGAAGTGTTTTTTGCTAGTTTATTATTTATTATTTACTAGAAACCACATGTAAACAGATGTGTGTTCATTCAGTCTGAGACAGAAAGTAAAGACATGCTACATTCGTTTGAAAAATGAAAGTAATGGCTTGCTGCCTCCCCAGAGAAAGGAGCCTAAACTGACAAATGCAGGAAAAAAAAAAGAGAAAGAAAATGCACTGAAGTAATTATACTGTATGTGCAGACACAATTATAGGGCACATGAAAAGTATGGAACGGTCTCATGTCCTGCCTGGTGGATAACTTTCTTTTTTTATTAAAACACCATTAAGCAGTAAAAATCTTACTAGAACTAAAAATGTTCCCTTCAAACTTTTGCAAAACAAACTTCCATCCCTTATCATACAAGTGGTCATTCCTGGTAAGGGACGCAACAGCTTCAGTCTATTCTGGAACCAAGAGACACCAGCCCGTCCAAGGGCACACACATGCATACACATATACATAGGAAGAAATTACAGGCTCCAGTATGGAATTAGCCAGAATGTCTTACTAAGGTGAGAGAAAACTGCCGCAACAAACCTAAGACCCAAAATCTGTGAGCCAGCAGGACTAACTACCATAGCAGCATGCTGGCCCTTTATTGAAATTTTCTTAGTAGTTATAAAATAAATGCATGTGGTTCAAGTCAACACCTCCCTAGGTACTACAAGACATGATGTGCAGAAAAAACAATACCTTCAGAAGAAGGCTGGTTGAACCTAGAATGCATTTTCGACACCTCCTGCATCGCAGCACAGCAGCTCTCCTTTCCATTTAAGGGCAAATCCAAATCTACAGGATGTCAATGATAAACAAAAACGTGATGGTGACTTTTAGTCAGTTTTAGTAAGATTCATATTTTAAGGGGGAGAAACAGAAAATTTTCCGGTCATTGCAAAGTTATGGAGGAATGTGAGAACATGACCAAATGAAACAAGAGTAGCCATGCCTTCTAAAACAGAGGTTTTTGACATTTTCTAAAAGTTATCGCCTTCCTGTCCAAAAGTGTCAGATCAAGTGCTACACTTTCCAGCTGTGCTGTGGACCGTCACAATGAACTGGTACTTAAAACTTCCAGTTTAGGCCAATTTTATAATTGCTCATTTTTCTTTGACAAAATTATTAAAATCTGTGTATACTTTAAGCATTTATCATATTAGCCAACAGCATTTTCCTATTATTTAACTCAAATTTTCTGTAATCAAAGAAGAAAACAGTATTAAAAAAAAACCTTCTCCCCAAATACAGCAAACAAATACTAACTAATATTAGAATACGACTGTGGATTCATTGTTTTAAGATGAACTTTAGGAAAATTAAACACATTTTCAAAGCATAAACCATTTCAGAATCTATGTTGCATGAAAGCAGTATTAACTTATTAGTTCAGGTGGGTAGCTGCGTCAGCATGCGTAGGCTGCAAAGGAACAAGTAATAGGTTTATTCCATGCTGAAAAAAAGAAGAAAGAGAACACAACGTTTCGGCCGTGGAGCCTTCTTCAGGTGTGTCATTAACTTAATATGCTGTTAATATTATAATAATATTATAATATTAAGCTTATTAACTTAATATGCTGGCTGATTATTAAAGCTTATAAATGTCCACTTCAAGAGGAATGATCAAAGAAAGGTTTCCTAAGAAACCCAGAATCAGTTGTCTGAATGACTACTGCCCCGTTGCACTCACATCAGTTATCATGAAGTGCTTTGAGCGGCTGGTCCAAGCATACATTACCTCCTCACTACCTGACACCCTAGACCCACTGCAATTAGCGTCTTGCCAGAACAGGTCAACAGTGAATGCTACTGCCACTGTCCTCCATACTGCCCTCTCACACCTGGATAAGAAAGGAACATATGTGAAAATTATGTTTGCTGATTACAGCTCAGCATTCAATACCATAGTGCCCTCAAAGACAAGCTCCAGGACCTGGGACTGAACACCTCCCTCTGTAACCGGATCCTAGACTTCTTGACGGAACATCCGCAGGTGGTGAGGATGGGCACCAACATATCCTCTACCCTGACTCTAAACACTGGAGCCCTTCAAGGCTGTTTGCTTAGTCCTGTCCTCTACTCCTCATTTACCCATGATTATGTCACCAGGCATAACTCAAACTCCATCATTAAGGGTGCGGATGATACAAAAGTCATTGGCCTGATCACAGATGATGAAGAGTCTGCGTACAGGGAGGAGGATGAAACCCTGGCAGCACGGTGCCAGGAGAACAACCTCTCTCTGAACATCAGTAAGACTAAGGAGATGATTGTGGATTATAGGAAACACCAGGGAATAGATCACATACCTATTTATATCAATGGGACAGCAGTGGAGAGGGTCAGCAGTTTTAAGATCCTGGGAGTTACTGTAACATCACAGAGGACTTAATCTGGACCCACCACACCAACTCCGTGATCAAAACAGCACGGCAGCGCCTGTTCTTTCTCGGTAGGCTAAAGAAGCTTGGGATGCCATCACATATCCAAGCCAGCTCAAAGAGGGGCACTATTGAGAGCATCCTGACTGGTTGCATCACTGCCTGGTATGGGAGCTGCTCCGTCCGGGATCGCAAAGTACTGCAGAGGGTGGTGAAGTCAGCGCAGCTCATTACCGGCTGTGAGCTACCAAACATCCAGGATATCTACTCAGTTAGATGTCTTAAGAAGGCCAGGTCCATTCTCAAGGACGCCAGTCATCCCAGTCATAAAGTGTTCTCTGTCCTACCATCTGGTAAATGGTATCGAAGCATTCGGTCAAAGTTCAACAGAGTACAGAACAGCTTCTACCTCCAGGCAATAAGACTGCTAAATAGCCACCTGCAGCTCCTTTAGCAAATCACCCGTAATGGCTACATGGACACACAGTTTTCATTGTATTCGGCATACTGCACTACTTGGACATAATATATTGCATGCACCCTGGACACATAGCAGCTCTGTTTATATTGAGTTTTGCCTGAGTTTATTTTAATCAATTTCTATTACATTATTATCTATTATTATGTAACCTTATTTTGTCATTTTAATTTAGTGATTTTTATCCCCCCCAGTGAGCTCATTAAAAAAACATTTAATTGCCAGCAACTACTGCTACATGCTGTATTCTTATGCATTTGATTAATAAACCTTGATTGATTGATTGATTGATTGATTGATTGATTGAAAGCTTTGCAATCTTTGTTAACACAATTAGTCATTGGGCTTCTTAAAGCAAACAACACACTTGGACATACAGTAGCTTCATGTTCATAACCCATGCCTGTAAAACAAGCAACGATGTACTTCTAACTTTCTAGGTCCTTCACTTTCCTCTGAGTCCTTCTGTGTTTTCCTCCCCTTTTCTTTTTCAAATGATAATTTATGAATTTTTGGATAATCAGCCTTTAAACATCGCTAAAACATCTTAATGTGAAATGTTGTGAACACAAGATCTTAATGTGAATCACACCAAAATGCCACTTTAGTTTTTCCCACATTTTATGTCAGGTCATGTCACACATCTTCTCATACACCTCCGGGATCCTAGCTCTTCCTGTGTTACAGTATTCCCCGCAAGGGGACATCAGGACAGTCTTTGGTTTAGGTTGTTCTACTAAACTATTTTGGCTTTACAGTTCTATGTCCAGTGTATACAAAATATACTATGTACAAATCAGTTAGCTTAAGTACAATTCATTGAAAATTAGGCTGTGCCAAATCATTTCTTGAATGCATCTAATGCAGTGATACAGTGATTTTATGAGTAAGCTGCTCTTGTAGGTTGCCTGATTTTGCATACATGCCTAAGGAACTGTCTACAAAGCTGTCAGCAAATCCTTGATGCAAATGTTACATTGAAAAGTCTGTCTTTTTATTGTTAGTTTATTACTTGTGTTAGTCAATGAAAATATCCTAGTTAGTAGTCTATGAGTAACCTACATTTTTTTAAGGAGTCCTTGAAAAGACTAACTAGCCCGGGCCAAAAGTTTACATTATTCTTTGACACTTCATCCTTTACTATGCTCGCATTATTTCAACCTGTAGCACCTTATTAATTTCATCTTCATGAACAACTGTGGAAAAGTGCACCTTTACACACCTTTCTTAGCTTTAATTCCAAAATTGCGTACTTATTTTACTTAACATTACTACCTTTGAAATAATCACTTCCCTTCTTCAAATACTGTATTATTTTCACACCACTAGTATTTCACAGTCGTTTATTTGTACATGTGGATTGTACTGTGCCTTTGCATCCTAGTAATGTGTTCTGGAATAAGTTTTAAATGAACCACGAACAAATACACAACGATATAAGTTTTACTATGTTCATTTTGGGTACATTGTATACACGATGTCAAAAGGTTTAACCCTACAAGCAAACTACGCAGCAAGTCGATACTGTACTGTACGTCGCTTCCTTTCGGATGTAGTTTACAAACCGTATGTGACCCAAACAGAACTTAATCAGAGCAGCTGTCTTACAGGAGACTACTTTACACTGTCTTAAGGCTTCGTTGTAATTTCATACATGTGGTTTGAATGTCGTCGACAGTCGTGATAAGAGAACAAAATCACAAAATGAAAACTGCTACAACAACTTTTGCTTCTGAAAGTCTTAAAATTAGCATATATTGAATATGTTGCTATTACTGTACAGCAGTTGCCTATATTAATAGATTGTTACGTGAAATACTTTTACAATTATATTGCATGTCGTTTATTATTATTATTAATAATAATTTATAGAATTGTACTGTTGTTTCTGAACACTAAACCAATATAAACGTCACTGCAAAAAAAATAGCAAGGATTGCAATTAAATGATTAAAAAATGATATTATTCAGATGCAATTAGTATTGTCTCTCACATTACCTTCCAAAAGACTCAGAACGTCATTTGAGTACCACCGAGCCTAGCACCGCTTAGGTTCCTGTTAATTCACAGCAAAACTTGCAGAAATGTAGGTGGGAACAAACTATGGCAAGCGAGAGGTACCAAATCTGTGGCGTGAGTGAGAGGAGTAGAGAGTGGTGCGATTTATTGCTATATCAAAATTAATATATTTTACTAAAAAAATGAAGATTTGGGTTAGGGTGTTTGATATACTGTGAGCAAGAATTTTCTGTACAATATTTACAAGAATTTTCTGTACAAAGAAAAACGTGACGAACAACGCTACTCAGTTCTATCCGAATAGGATTTTTCTCATGCTCACGCAAGTTTTCAGCTGTTATCAAAAGCAAGGATGTCCAATCTTTTTTTAATTAAAAGTACAGGTATGCTGTAAATCAACTTTGCTTTCACTTTTTTTCCATTTAGTAAAGTCTTTAATTGTTTTATTGCACATATTAATCTCACTACATTTCAACTGCAAGACTAACTTGTGAAAAACATGAGAAGCTTTTCTTCTCGTTTTAACTGCTAAAATAATTTTGCGTGCATTCCCAGGCATACATGTATTGACGTTTTGTACAGCCTTGATTGTGTATATAACTTTATAATACATCGGGGCAATTGCTCTAACTGTTGCACAACAATTGTTGCGTTCCTACTGTAACTCAAATTTGCTGAGATAAATGGAATTTAAAAAGAACACCCTAAGAATACATTTTGGAATTACCTTTGGCAGTAATTACTGCTGTTTATATTTTGGATTTGGTGTGGGTGATTAAGTTTTGTCCCTTTTCCGAGTGGAAAAGTTGCTTTTTTAATTAGGTATAATTAAGCCACTGCAATTGTGAACCCTCGCCATAAATTTTCAATTGGTTTCAAGTCAGACATTTGACTGGGCCACTTGAGTGGTCTGACTCTCTTTTTGCCAGTGTGTCAAGATCACAATGTGTGTCTGTATATCTGCTGTATGAGATTTAAGATTAGTCTTTTTCTGTAAAGGACAGTTTCATGCCTCTCACTCACTCACAGGACAGCTTAGTGTAAGGACTGGGATATTGTATGAACAGTGACTCCTGTCTCAGACACAGAACTTTGCAAATCTTCGTAGTCTCAGGTGGCTTCACTATAGTACATGTCCACTCACTAACCAGTTTTCCTGCTCACTGGCCTGCTCAGTTTGTCAGGTGGGCCTGATCTAGATGTTGAATGAGTGGTATGTTCAACAACTTCGTTATACTCAAAGAGTTAAGTAACTTTCTCCATTTCTCTGCCTCTCTACCACTTCCCTTATTTGTTTCAAAAGCACCATTGTCCCCAAGATTGATTTATCTTATCTCCATGTGAAATATGACTTTAATAATATTGTAACGCCTCAGGGTTCAGGTGGGGGCCCTTGCTTGCTGCCGCATCAGGTCAGCCCCCCACCTTCGGGGACTCAAACCCAGGCCTCCGGCATCACTCAACAGGGACCCAGCCTGTTGAGCTAAAGAGAGATCTCCCTTCAGCCCAGCGGCTGCAGCCCCTGCTATCACAGGGAAGGGTGGTGATGTGACCGCTCTGGTAAGCCGGCTCTTACACACTCACTGGTGGCCTTATGCGTTACAATATTATGAATGATTAAATTCAATATCCGTCTTAGGGAATTTAGAGACAAATTTAAGTTAAGCCACTGTACATAGAAACAGAGACCACTACAGTACTTTTTCTTTTACTTTTCAAGCCATTATTTTCCACATTAACTGATTTAGGTTTGTTGTAGCAAACACACTCACCATTGCCTTGTTTTATATACTGATGTAAAAAAGAAATGCAACACGTCTTCCTCCACACTCTGGCCCTCCCATCTGTGTAGAACAGGCTGAAGAGTGACTCATCCATGAAGAGTACTTGATGTCACTGCTGACAAGTCCATCACAGCCTCTGTCTGGCCCAAACCAGTCGGGTGTGACGTCTAGGTGGTGTGACAGGTCGCCTTGATCTAAGGCCAGCAGCATTGAGCCTCGCTGTCCTGTCACTAATGCGGGGGCATTGTATCTGCTGGTAGTTTCAGCAGTAGTATGGGTGGCAGATCTTAAAACGATCTCTGAGATCGAGCAGTCTGATGTGTCGGTCCTGCTCTGGTGTGGTCACTCGAGGGCGACCGGATTTTGGATGGTCATCTGTCCTGCCGGTCTGCTGAAACCTTCTCTGCAGTCGGGACACAGTGGAGCGGCTTACTGCATAGTGTTTGGCAATGCTGGCACATGACATGCCTGCATGCAGCATGCTAATGGCCCTCTCCCTTGCTTCTGGCGACATTCACGCATTATGGAATGCACAGAAAACTGACTAAGTGTGGCCTTTTTCTTGCAGAGACCTTAGCTTTGAATTGAGGCCTTTTTAAAGGTGACCCGATCAGACATTGTTCCGATCACGATTGTAGTCCCTCCCCCTTAAGAGCGCTCCGGCTCTTTCACTTCTGACTTGATTTTGTGCACCTGCCCCCTGCTCCAGCCTCCTATCCTGCCCACCTTAAATGCCAGATGCTCACTGTGTTCCGGGCTCTGCATTGGTTCCTGTACCAGGCGAGTCCGGGACCTGTAGCGTCTGGTCCCATCCCCCCCTTTTTCCCCCCCGACTCTCCACCGGATCCCACTCTGGTTTTTATACCCGTTTGTCTTTGTGTCTGATGGACCTCCCGGCTCTGGACATTTGCCACGTCTTGGATTTCTCTTTGGACTCCCTTTTAGTTTGTTTGCCCCGGATTCACTCCCCAGAACACCTGCGCACCTTGGACACGCCCCCTGTTTTAATTCCCGACTCCCGCATGCTTTTTTCCCCAGTGTTTCCTCACTCTACCCCGGATTGTGTCGTCTGCATAGGGGTCCTGAAAGAACGCTTTCATTACAGTTCCACCTGGACCGCGTTGGGTAAAAGTCCACCTAATGAGCTTCTGTGTGATTGGCAAATTGCAATGCCTCACTGCACAAGCTGTATTGCTGGTTAGAGGGCTTAAAACAAATTGACAACTTTTTGTGAAAGTACAGTACATAAGCTATAACTATAGTATTCTCATTCCAGAAAATGTTGCGCTTCTTCCATCAGTATATTTGTTTAAAATATTACTGTAAGCTGAAAATGCTGCATTTTGACTTTGATACAATATATCATTTGTATTGTCCTTTTTTCTCTATTTTTCTAAGTATTCTGTGTTACTTTTTATACATCGGATGTCATTCTGTCTGGTAACTACTGTACATACTGTAAAATAGCAATTTAATCAAAATATGCTGTTAAAAAGAGTCCTTTAAACTGATTGGTGGAAAATGTACAATGGAACCTAATTAGTGTATTTTTGTGTGTGGAGTTAGGGGTAGACAAGGTTTATCTCCCCAGCCAGTGTATATTTAATTTAGTTTCCATGTTAATATTACTATTATCATCATAATTACATGTTTTTACTTATTGAGATAATTACTTCCATCTTTAAGCTTTTTATAATTTCACCCATATAGGAAATTTGATTTTATGACTTGGATTTTAAAACATTTTTAAAGTCCATTCTTGATCTTTAAAGGAACAGCTCTTCAAAGGAAGCACAGCAAATAAATTCAATTCAAAACAAAGGAATAGTATACAGGTTATGTACACTATGTATATATTTAATGCCTTCATCCAATGTGGCCTACAATAAAATGACAGTGAGATATTAGGCCTGCAAACCTACCAACATACCAGAGTGGGATAAATAAAATAGCTTTGTTTATATACGTAATATACTGTAATACAATAACAAAAAAGTCCAAAAGTTAATTTAATATTAGGCTCTAAAAATGTAGCCTATAGTAAATGATCCATAAGGAGTACAAAGAAAAGCTAAAACATACCAATGATACAGTCTGAAAGTAAACTCTAAGCCTTGAGGACCAAAGCAGATAGGTGAATAATGGATCCATGAATGCTGTTTCAAGGTACATGGTTCCAATACAGCTGTGCAAAGGTGGAGAATGTGCAACACAGAGAGGATAAGAGATTGGATTAGAAACAAGGAGAGTAATGAATAGTGGTAGGTGAGAGCAGGGATCTGAAATCAGTTTTGAACAGACATAGGCATTGAAGAGTGCTCAGAAGCAGAGTGCATGAGAAAAGCCAGGCTACAAGAATACTAAGTGATCCGAACACTATATAGAGTTGAAGAGAGTGGGTAACTGATGAAAGCAGACTAGCCTGGTGAGATTTGCTGCTTGTTCAGTCTCTCAGTAAACCAAGATCTTGGACTATAGGTTAAGTGGAGTATTTTTGAAAAAGGGAACAGATCCTTTCAATACTGTTTATTAAATTATGACAGAAGAGTACTAGGAAAGAAATATGCTGAGAACAGAAAAGAAAGGTCCAGAGTAAACATACAGATTAATAAAAAGTAAAAGAAAAACTAAGTATGCCACCAGATCTCTAATACTGAAGTAACAACAAAATGTATGTGTTTTTCAAAACATACCATTTTGACTCCTACCTGGCATAACTCCAGCATTGTCATTTTCTGATTTAAATACACTGCAAAGAAGAGTTACTGAGAATTGACCACTTCTTTTTGGTTCTCTTGAGGCAAAAAAGCTTCAGCAACTCAAAATCACTCTCTTGAAGTTACAAGTACCTGGAAATCAGACCTTTCTGGCGACTACTGTATGTTTCAACAAAATACCTGAAAGAATGAATTAGTTTTTGTCAATATCTGAAAAAAAAAAACATTATTCTTTTTCCGGCTTATGTCAAGTTCATCCTTTTCAATTACTTTAATATCAGTCTGGCAAGATTAATAGAGCTTTTTCTCTAAATTAAGAAATGTAGATTTCGTCTGGAATTGTGATCATCATTATGTTACAAATCAGACCCTTAACATGTCATATTGTTTGCTTTTTCAGGGGCGTTATATTATTTCCTACAATAAAATAAGATTGCAGCACCGCAAATGTCATAAACAGCTAAAACTACCTCTTATGTGGCACTGGTTCACGTTATACAGTATAGAAAGACAGTCACCAGAGAGACATTCTGTGACATACAAGAAACTTCCTGAAGCCA